TTCGTGAGCATTGATATCGCTGAGCACTTATCTCAAATCTTCCAAGCACATGAGCTCAGCAAAGCCCCTTTTATTCACCACCAGCGTGTGTCCCCCATGAACCCTCAATCTTTGCATTCTGCTCAAATGCTTCCCGGCCTCACCCGACCTCCTCCAAGGTGGAGCTTGCCAGTCCAAGCGGCTCCTCCCTGAGTCTGTCTTACTTCTTGGCAAACGGTTGCAATCATTAGGAAGTTATTAGCATGAGGAGGGGGACATCCCATAACTCGAGCGTCCAGGAGCGATGTGTGTGCAGCCTGTTTATAGCAGAGACCTCTGCCCCCCGGTGCAGACCTCGGTTACATTCCTGGCTCGTTTTGCGTTTGCAAGAATTAGAGTCTTCATAGCCGAGTCCTCATTATCTTATCTGTCTTCATCTATCTTACTCACCCAGACACGGCCCACTGAATCCATTCATTTGGGGCCTTCCATTTTTATTAATGCCGCAGTCAGAATACGTTCCATGCATGTTGCAACAGTCAAGATAAGCTCAGGGAAAGTGAGATAACAAAGAGCCCAAAGTCTCAGTGACCTAGGAAAGGTGTGATTCTCATGCATGCGCCCTGCCCATCGTGGCTTTGCGGGAGGCTCTGTTTGTCACGGGCACTAAGAACCCAGGCTGATGGGCAGCCACCACCTCAAACAACACCAGGAACCTTGCCAGAGAGAAAGCGAGCGCTGGATGGCCCCTGGTGTGAAATTAAACATTACCGCAAGGAAATGGCACCTGTCACACCTGTTTACAACATATAGGTCAAGATGGCCACATCCCCATCCACCAAGAAGTGAGCTACAGGACAAGACTACCATGGGCCTGAGGAAGAGCCAGAAATCATTAGCAAACAGTTCTGCTGACTGTCTCTGTGCACAAAAGGCAGCCTATGGCTATGCGCGGGCAACTGGGAACTGCAGGTGTGAAGGTCTACACACTGTCTGAACGTAGCGTTTGTTTCTATTACTTGACCTAAACAACACAACACAACACTACACACACACACACACACACACACACACACACACACACACACACAGATCCCCATCTCCACGCCCTGCACCCACAGACCCAGAATTGCAGTTCAAAGTCCTGGGCACAGACAGCTCCATTTACCTGCAGTGAGAACGGACGGCACAGGTGTGAAGACCTGCTGTTCTCTGCTTAACTGCCTTATCTTTCTGCCAACGTCCAGCTCCCGCTTCTTATTACCTGGAAGAATAAACACTGAGTTAAAGCGAAAATGAGGGCCGGGCGCGGTGGCTCACGCCTGTAATCCTAGCACTCTCGGAGCCAAGGCGGGAGGATTGTTTGAGCTCAGGAGTTTGAGACCAGCCTGAGCAAGAGCGAGACCCCGTCTCTACTAAAAATACAAAGAAATTAGCTGGACAACTAAAACTATATAGAAAAAATTAGCCGGGCATGGTGGCGCATGTCTGTAGTCCCAGCTACTCAGGAGGCTAAGGCAGGAGGATCGCTTGAGCCCAGGAGTGTGAGGTTGCTGTGAGCTAAGATGACGCCACGGCACTCTAGCCCGGGCAACGCAGTGAGACTCTGTCTCAAAAAAAAAAAAAATGGGGGGAGGAGGGAGGAGGGGACGAGTATTTGTATACACAAGGAGTGCAATGCGCACTACCCGAAGGATGGACATATTTGAAACACGGACTTGGTGGGGGGGGGGGGAACCAAGGGCAACACACGTAACCTAAACATCTGTACCCCATAATATGCTGAAATAAAAAAAAAAAAAAAAAAGAAAATGAGGACTTAGTTTTACACTCCTAACTATACCTGGTCCGCCCAGGCACCCACTTCCTCCGGCGGAGGGGGATTTCGGTGTCCTGCTTGTCTGGAACGGGCATGTGGCTCCTTTTCGTGGAACGCCTGGTTGGGCAAGAAGGCCCGGGAAGTTCAACTCATCAAGGAGCCTGTTTCTCGGAAAACGAGTCTTACCGGACATTTGTGTCAGTATTTCTTTTCTTTCTTCCTTTTTTCCCCCCTCCCTCCCTCTTTCCCCTTTCTTTCTTCCAAGAAGTCCACTCCCCTGTGACGATTCAGCCTGAGTTAGAAGACTGGAAAGAGGAAAAGCCTTAGATTAAAGACTCTCCGGCCCCTGAAGCAAGAGAGCCGTAGCCAGGCCACAGATTACAGTAAAGCCACCGGAGCTCGCAGCCCGTCCATTCAGCTTTGCCATCAGATTTAAGTACGTTTGCTATTGACAGAGATCGTGGACGACAAACGCCTCCAACTCGTAAATGCATCTGGGTCCACATTTCTCTGCGGAGTTATCGATCAGCCCCTGGAGACGGAGGCGCACGACAGCCCGTCTCGTGCCTTTCGCATCTGTTGCCTCAGCGCGAACATAAAAGGCCCCTTCGTTGGAAACGCTTTTTACGATGCTCGAACAACCTAGTGATTTCTGCTTTGCTTTTCCTCACACCGCTGTAAGTGCTAACGGGAGGTTTGCAGCCTCTGAAAAGGGAGACTGCAAGAGAATGTACAGGCAGGAATGACACCGTCCGTCTGCGGAGAGAGGCAGCAGGTGCAGACTGGGGCTGAATCTGGCCTTTGGCACTTTCCAGCCGCGTGTCCTCGGGAAAAGTGACTTCGTGTCGCTGGGCCTCAAGTTTCTCCTCTGTGAACTGAGGGTAACAATAGGACCTGCCTCCCGCGGTGGTCGCGAGCACTAACTGAGATGGTACCTGGGACGTATTCGGCTCTAACCCTGGCAGGCGTTAGGCGCTCGGTATACAGGGTCCCGTCTCCCTCCAAGCTTAACCCACGACGCCCCGGTGGGAAGGGACACATTCAGTGTTCCGCGTGGCGTCCCTCGCTCCCTCTTACCGCTGCTGTAGCAGGTACTGCAAACCTGGTGGCTTTGCAAATGAATTAGCACACGTTTGTTCTCCCCTCGTTCTGAGGTCGAAAGTCTGCAACCAGCTTCACTGGGCTGAATGAAGGTGTAGACAGGGCTGCACCCTGTCCAGCCGCTCCAGGGGTGCGTCTGTTTCCTTGCATTTTCCAGCCTCCAGAGCGCCCGTCCTGGGCCCCTTCCTCCACCCGCGAAGCCGGCAGCACAGCCCCTTGCTTCTGTGGTCCCAGGGCTTCCGCGGCTGTCATCCACTCCCTCCCTCCCCACTGTAAGGACGGTTGGGTTACGTTCAGGGACCACCCAAATAGTCCAGGATAACCCCCCATCGCAACATCCTTAATTTAATTGTTTACAGCAGCCCAGATATGGAAACAACCCACAAGTCCGTCAACGGATGAATAGATAAGGAAACGTGGTACATATACATGATGGAATACTATTCAGCCTTCAAAAAGAAGGAAAGCTTACCTTTTGTAACAAACAACGCAGATGAACCTGGAAGATGCAGTCCTGAGTGGAACAGACCAGACACAGGATGATGCCAACACTGCACCCCCTCACCCCCAGGTGGAAACTAAGTCAGACTCGTGGAAGCAGAGAGTAGAACGGCGGTTCCCGGGGCTGGGGGTGGGGGAAAGGAAGAGATGTTGGTGAAAGGGTACAAAGTTCCAGTTATGCAGGTGAATACAGTCCAGGGATTTAATGTACACATGGCAACTGTATTTAGTAATGCTGTATCGTATCCTTAAACTTTGCCAGGAAAGTAGATCTTAAATGTTCTCGTCACACACACACAAAGCAACTATGCGAGGTGACGGGTATATGGACTGACTTGATCATGGCAATGATTTCTCGTTGTACGTGTATGTAACACATCACGTTATACATCTGCATAAATGCATGCAATTTCATCTGCCAGTTACTTATTTGCCAATAAAGCCGTGGTGGGAGGAAAAGATCCTTAATTTAGTCACATCTACAAAGTGCCTTTTGACACACAAGGTGATGCTCACAAGTCCCGGAGATTAGGATGCGGATCTCTTTGGGACCAGTGTTCAGATTACCGCCTTCTCCCAGAGACTCCCCCCAATTCTTGTTTAGGACGAGAAGTAAAGGACTCACTGCCCTCCCTTGAAAGCTGGAAGACCAAGACAGGACCACAGCGTCCTTTCTGTGACCTTGGGTCTTCTCGTGAGCGTTGGCGTGGAGAAGGTCTGGTGCCAGGACGATAGCTGAGGTCCTGGCTCCGGAGCCGGGCTCCCGGGGCTGCCTCCTGCTCTGCCCTTCCCAGGGGGCCACAGGCGGGCTCCTTTACTCTCGGTTTGCTGGGCTGGAATATGGGAATGGCAGTGATACTGGTAGTGTGGCTGTTCTGAGGACGCGGTGAGTTAACATGCTCGGGTTTCAGGGGAAGCAGAGCCGCGACGTGGGTTTGAGAGCAGGAGAGCAGGGCTTTGCTTGGGGAGCGACCCCTGGACGCGGGCTGAGGGAGTGAGCAGCGAGGCAGGACACGGGGAAGGGGAAAACCCAACAGGAGGTGTGTTATTGGGCCAGTTAACACGGTGAGCAACGTGCACGAACCCCACTGAGCCCCTCTAAGGAGCCACGCCGAGTGTGCCTCCAGATCCAGCCCACACCCGCGAGCGAGAGCCGTCGGCCCGGGATGCGCCTGCCTGGAGTGAGGGGGTCAGGGTGGTGAAAGGAGAGAAGCTACGCAAGGGTGGTTCCAGGCGAGGTGCAGCGGGATCCCACGCGGGGCGCTGGAGAGCGATCCAGCCACCTCGGCGCCGTCTCGTCCAGAACACGCCGTGTGAGTTGTCAGCCACGAGCTGCAGCACCGGTGCTGGGCGCAGCGAACCAGTAACGGGGACCCCAGGAGACGGAGGTGGAGCTCGGATAGCATCTGTCATCGCGGCACCTGCTAGACTCAAAAGCAACAACCGACATCTCCTCTGTCTACACTAGGACTCACTCCCACAGCAGCGACCCCAAACAGCCCTGGTGCTTCCCTTCCCTCCCCCGCGTGCTGTCCCGCGGGCTGTGGAATAGGATGAAGACTCACCCGCCCGCCCCCCTTTCTCTCCCTCCTCTTCGCAGGTTTCCGACAGGTGCGACTACGTCTTCGTGAACGGGAAGGAAATGAAAGGCAAGGTGAACGTGGTGGTCAACTTCACCTACCAGCACCTGAGCGGCGCCCTGGAGATGACGGTGTGGGTGCCGCGGCTGCCGCTGCAGATCGAGGTCTCGGACACCGAGCTCAATCAGATCAAGGGCTGGAGGGTGCCCATCATGTCCAGCAAAAGGTAGGTGTGTCCATCGGACTCCACGTCGAATGTGCTTGGGCTAAGAAGGGAACTTACAGGTGGCTGGTTTCAGGTATGGCTGGACCCAAGGGTTCTCTCGATGTCTAAGGACTGAGTCTCTCTCCGTCCCTCGGCTGTCTGCTCTGTGCCGGCCTCGTCCTCCGCTGGGCACCTCTCCTGCGGCTCCACACTCCCATCCTGTCTCCTCTGCAACTCCAGCAGAAGGACACCCTCTCCTTTCCGATAGTCCCAGCAAAAGCCCTGCATTTAGTCTCCTCTTCACTTGGGTCGTGTGCCCACCCCTTACCTAGTTAGTGCAGCCAAGCGGATAGAACACACGGGTGGCCGGCTAGACTTCAGCCACAGTCCGCTGGCTGGAGCTGGAGGAGACAGAGGAAGAGTCACCCCTACCTGGACCGATGGCTCAGTTCCAGGACAAGGGGAGATTGAGGTGGGGAAGGAGCACACAGCAGACGTCCACTAGGGGGGGACACAGGAACAGATGCCACCTGACCTGGGCCCTGAGCTCTCAGCCTTGGTGGAATGAGGTCCAGGTTTGTCCTCCGTGTGTTTGATACATCACTGTGATGGTGTTTGGTGGGGTTATAAGAGTCTCCGTCATCCACCGTCAGGTGAGCACCAGGTAGAGGGAGTTGTGGAAGTCAGGCCTTCTGCTCCTAGACCTTGTCATCTCAGAAGACCCCGCGTGTGAGGACTCGTGCCTTAGGGACAGGTAGAACCCCGAAAGTGGTATGTGCAGAGTCGGACAAGGAAACGCTCCTGGAGTCTGTGTCTTCAGCAGGGGTGGGGAACTGCACTTATCTGGGAAGTAACTGTTGTGTCCCTTTCCCTGAGAGTCCGCTCCTTGGTCCTCCTGAGCCCTGGGGAGAGGATGCTTCAGGGGCCGAGGCCAGGGTCTCACGTAGACGGTTTCAGCGATGACCCTTTTATGAATCGCTGGGGTGTCTGGTGTTGAGTTGGGAGGGTGAGTTGAGGAGTGACTGTTGACGCCACAGAGAGGGAAACCGTAGGGACAGATCCACCAAAGAACCGGCTGAGTCTGATGGCGGCACGTCCCAGATGCTCTCATGGCTTTCAGGTTCAGATACGGCAGCAGGAGGTGAGCAGAGCCGCGGCTGCTCTGATGGAGACCACGGTAGCGTCACAGAAGGGCCAACGGCACACGAGGCATCAGATGCTGAGGGGGCAACTGACATCTGTCCCCTCAAACCATCCCAGCCTCGTCTGCCTTTCTCCTCCTGCTTACCTTTCCTTGGGCTCAGCACTCGCCTCCTGGGTGTGCTGGTTTTTAAGGGATGTACTAGTCACCCATATTAGTTACCTATTGCTGAATAACTCAGTGGCTTAGCCCAAAACTTAGTGGTTTAGACATTATCCCGAAACTTAGTGCGGCTTAGAAGGACATGTATTATTTCGCAGTTTCTGCGGATCAGGAATGCAGGCGTGGCTCTGCTGGGTCCCCTGAGCTGGGTCTCTCCCAGGCTGTGATCCTGCTGTCAGTGGGGCTGGGGTCTCATCTCAGGGCTCCCACGGGGAAGGGTCTACACCCGCGTCCCTGACAGGGGCACCGGCAGGTCTCAGTTCCTCGCCAGCTGCTGGCCAGAGGTCACTGTCAGGTTCTGGCCAGGGGGACATCTCCACGGGGCAGCTTGCCTCCCCAGAGCAGCCAAGTGGGAAGAATCAAGGGCAGAAAACACAGGCAGGACAGAGGGCAGAGTCTTTAAAATCTAACCGTGAAAGTGACCGTCCGCTCACTTTGGCTGCAATTTTCTCATTGGAAGAAAGTCACTAAGTCCAGCCCTCACTCAAGGGGAGGGGATTTCGCAAAGTAAATGCCAAGAGCTTGGAGGGGTCTTTGGGGACAGCTTAACCTCTGCTTGCCACACCAATCCATTCCAATTTGTCGGTGCTCGTGCCCGACCAGTGGTCAAATCCTCCAAGTGCCGCCTCTGCGTGGCGGGCTGTGAACCCCTGGAGGGCCGGGCTCGAGGCTCACTCACCTTCACAGCGCTACCCGTCTGTTAACCTGGACTGACTCCTCGACAGGCCGGCTGGGGACAGTGAGGAAGAGGAGGACGAGGAGAGGAGGGGCCGCGGCTGCACGCTGCAGTACCAGCACGCCATGGTGCGGGTCTTGACGCAGTTTGTGGCAGAGGCGGCCGACGCCGGGGCCCACCAGGCCCACCTGCTGGGCTCGGACTGGCAAGTGGACATCACGGAGCTGACCGGCGACTTCATGCAGGTGGAGGAGCCCAGGATAGCCACGCTGCAAGGCGGGCAGGTCCTGATTGGGCAGGAGCTGGGGATGACCACCATCCAGGTAAGGAAGCCCCCGGGCAAGGGCCGTCTCTCCCCTGCCTCTGGGCTGCCCAGAGGAGAATTCAGTGGCTTGTCACTGCATAGAACAGCGGCTAATTTTAGGTGCGTACATTTAGAGAAATGGTCAGGGAAACCATGTAAGTGATATAGTGATGTGATGAGAATCTTGAAATTCCTCATGTATTACTTACACGTGAGAAGCCCTGGACTGGCTCCTCTGGTCAGTCGTGTTCGAAACTCCAACGCATCATTTTCCCCTAACTGTGGTAGTGTCACCATCTTGGTGAACAAAGCCCTGAGGTGAGCTCGTCTCGTCTGAATCGAGGGCGTGAAGGAAGCAACTCCTTGCTGAGCCACTTGTCTTCACTGTGCGTTGTTGCCTAAAAGCTTCCATCCTATCGGGATGCTGCGGCCGACTCTACCACGTCTCAACCCCAGGTCTGGTGAGAACCCGAGTATCTCAGAGACGTGCCAAGGCAGGAGCGGAGATACTATGACCCCATCGGTCTTGCAGGTCCCTCCGGCTGGGGAACGGGAATGGAGAGGGCTGGCGTGCAATGCTGGGGGGTTTTGAAACAAATATTTTTACAGAACAGTGTTCTGGGAAGCTTTCCGGGGGCTGTCATTTGCCTTCCATGTGAGAACAAAGGAAGACTTTATTCCTCAATAGCTGCCCGTTTAGAAGCGAGGTGATCATCTCCTTAGGCAACCTGTGCGGTATCCAGGGCAGCTAGCAGTCCTTATAGCTGAAACTACATTGGATCATAAAAGATCTAAAATATCCATTCTGGGAAATTGGCTGGTGTGTTGAAAAGATCATTTTATTCGAGGAGGAAAACAGATGGGTTTGGGCCGTAGGCCAGGATATCTAGAAGCTACGAAGGCAACATCCGAGAGGGGAGCCGGCTGGACCTGAGCTGAAAGGTGGTGACTGATTTTGCACTTAGTGTTGGAGAGACAGTAGGGAGTGGTGAGGACTGTGGCAAAGTGACAACCTGCTAAAAAGCTGCCCAGAAGAAATGCAAGCCCAGTGTGGCCACGTGTTACAACTTTTCCAGAAAAGCTGGAAATCTGTCTTTTTATATGAAATCTTCTGGCTTTTGTACAATTATGATCATCAATTCCATTTTAAAGTATTACATATGGCAAACAAAACATACCACCCATAGATAAGAGCTTGCAACCCACACAATAGACAAAGAAGCTGAAAGACCTGAATTCCCACAATAAATCCGTAGGCTGAACTCATGCTCATGGCTCGAGATTCAGACTAAGATGAGAAATTGGTATTAACCACTCACCCCGAGCGATAATTTATGTGCAAAGAGGAAATGACACAGTATTCAGAAATCTTGTTTTAGGGAGGAAGAAATGGGCCAGCTTCCCACACCTTAAACAAGAAAATTGAGACCCTTATTTCTTTTATTTATTCTCGCTATGTCCTCCCGAGTTATAAATTCACTTGGCTACTTCCTTCTGGGGATCGTGTCTCAAGCTCACTGCCATTTGAATGATCACAATCAGACCCAGAAAGTGAAGACGGTATTTAGACAGAAGTATCCAGCTTTGGTTCTGGGCTTAAGGAGCACCTGGAAAACTGTTCTCTTGACCTACATCTTCGTAAACATCCCCAAAAACTTGACAAGAGAACTAGGTCGAGAAAACAGGTGGATGGAGAAGGAGCCCATTTCATCCTGGAGGTTAAAGATCCGTGGACAGCGGCCAGAATCGGAGCAGGCGAGAGTCATGCCACGGATGCTCTTCGGAAGCAGGATTTCCTGTTCAGGGTCGACGTTGAACATAAGCCTCATTTTCCAGGTCATTACAGGTGTCCCGGGGAGAAATGAGACTTTGGGATATTGGCTCCAGGCGTAGACACTCAGAGCTGTGCTCATCAGGGCATAACCGGCACCACCGCTCAGCGTCGCTTAAGGAGTCCAGTGTGGACTCCGGGTATCACACAGCCTGACAGAGATGGTCCACGGACCAGCAAGCTCTCCCTCCTCGTGGCACGTGGGTTTTCATGTGCGAGAGAGAAACGTATAAATATATAACTGGGGTATCAAGCCCATTGTTCTTTGGTGATGTGAAGATGTTTGAAAACAAGTCATTTTGGTAAAATATATAATTTTAAACAAAATACACATTAAATAATAGCTGGGCAATCTGTGCGGTAGAAGAATCACAAAGTTAGCTCTTGGATGAGAATGGTAATTCCTGCTACTGAGGGTGAGGGTGGTGCATGGTGGGAAATGGAGTTTATTGCAGGGGCGTGGGGCGGACGCCAAGCTGTCCCTGTCCACTCCTCAGCACCTCCTTGCTGGCAGGTAAAAAGCGTGTTGTTTTCTCCAGCAAGATGTGTGTTTCAGAAGGAGGCGTCAATGGGGAAGACCCATTCTCGTCCCTTCTGGCCCACTTGTCAGTCTGTCCTTCCCCTGCACGGACGTCCCTTGTGCCGTTGGAGGAAGCACCAGGACCACAGAAACCTTTCCTTGTCCTGTCGCTTCTGCCCTGCAGATCCTGTCTCCGCTGTCGGACGCCATCCTGGCCGAAAAGACCATAACTGTGCTGGATGAGAAGGTGACCATCACAGACCTCGGGGTCCAGCTGGTGACGGGGCTGTCGCTCTCCTTGCAGCTCAGCCCGGGGAGCAACAGAGCCATCTTTGCCACTGCGGTGGCTCAGGAACTTCTGCAGAAGCCCAAGCAGGTATGGAGGCAGGGCTGGAGACACAGCTCGGGTGGGTCACGCAATGGGAGTCTCACACCAGGTGGGGTGTGCTTCACATCAGGTGAGTCTCACAAAGGCTTGGGGTCACCTGTCAGGTTTATCAATCTGCAAAGGACGCCGGTGACGCAGGTGACTGCTCTGCCTCATGGTTCCCAGCTCCCCCCAAAGATGTAAAAAATAAATGCATAAATAAAGATGGCAGCAATTAAAAAGTTACAAACTCCCCAAGGCAGAAGCAATGGACAAAAGCCCCCATATCCACCGCATGGCGCCCGCGCTCGGGTTCACACCCTCCAGTCGCCCCTGGCCCCGTGGGTGGCCGGACCCCCACGGCAGTGGGAGGTGGCGGGAGGCTGGGCACAGGCCCGGAGGAGACGCCACAGCCTGCTGCCAGGTGCTGCAGGAGCTCGGGGACAGTCTGGGCAGTGGTAAGAGACTGGAGATTGTCCCCACACCTGTGACTGCGTAGCTCAGGCAGAAATAGAGTCCCAGGTGATGCCAGTCATGACTTTAGTTTATCTGAAACCAGCGTGTGCTAGTAGAGTGCTAGGTGTGTGTGTGTGTGTGTGTGTGTCTGTGCATGTGTCTGTGTGTATGTATGTATGCGTATACGTGTGTGTTGTGTGTATATGTATTGCATGTTGTGTGTATATATGTTGTGCATGTTCTATGTGTGCGTTTTGTGTAAGTATTGAGTTGTACAGGTGTGTTTTGTATGTTGTGTGTGTTTGTGTTGTACTGTGCCCATGTGTTTGCATGTGTGTCCTGTGTATGTATCATGTGTTGTGTGTTGTGTGTGAGCCTGTGTGTATGCATGTGTGTGTTGTGTGCATGTGTATGTATTATGTATTGTCTTGTGTGTTGTATGTTTGTGTTGTATGTGTGCTTATGTGTATGCATGTGTGTATGTGTGTCGTGTGCATGTGTGTGCCGTGCAACTTTGCGTGTTGATGCAATGATTTCCAAACAACGGGACCGCTAACGGGATTTGTGTTTGTTCACCTTTGCGTAACACGGTGAATAGACGTTATGTCTTAGAAGGAACACGCAGATGTGGCTGAGTCTTGCCTAACAACACAGGACAGTAGTCCCGGCCATTCCCTTTCTTTGCACCCCATGAAAAGGGACCATCCTCACACAGGATGCCAGGAGCCCTCTGGCCCACATGGGAGGTTTTTCTGGCAGCTTACCTTGTGGGTCAGGAGCCCGTTCTCTGCAGCTCCCCCTCCGCAGGACAAGTTACCAGACTCAGCCGTCCCCTCATCCCCAGCCGAGGCTGTGACCATGTTCAGAGCAGGAGGAAGCACTAACCCGGCTTGCGGTGGGGCACAAAGAGCCTCCCATTTCCCCGCCTGCGCCTGTCACGTGATGCTCCCGGTCAGGCATCAGCTGATCTCTCAGCCCTTACGCTCTGGTCCTTGTGCGCAGGGTTAGGGATTAGCAAACACTTGAAAGCGGATGATTCCAGTAACAGACATGAATTCTTGGCCAGTGCTAACCTCCTTTCTGTCAGGGAAGGGAGCCAGCCAAGAGGCAGGTTACAGACAGCCAAGGAAAGGGAGCCCGAGGCCTCTTTCTGTCTTTACAGGATGATAAGATCAGGCGACAGCCAGCTGGGAGTTAGGGGAGTGATCGGATGCAGCTAGAAAAAGTCCAGAGAGCTCATCTGTTTCTGACGTGTGGAGCTGCACACACTCCCCTGCGGTCTGCAGGGCACTTACCCCTCCGCGCAGCTTGGCTCTGGCGTGGTGGTTCCAAGAAATCCTTTGTGCATTTGAACGTTCTGCTCAGATTTCATGGCAGACCGAGACAGCCTGCTAACTCAGGGCCGTGTGCAATGACCGTTGCGCTGTGTCTTGACCAGGTTTTCCACGTAGCACCTGGTCCAAACCAACCTCTAACGAAATAAGTACTTATTGGCTAAGCCAATGGAAGGCACGAAGGCCACCGCCGCGTTCAAGGCACCTTGCTTCTTACTGCCAAAGACCAAACAACAGCCGTGCACAATTGACTTCTGTCATGGCCAGAGGCCGGTGGGTGCACCAAAGAGAAACCCACTGGGGCAGGCGTCAGTGACAAGGGATATGTTCGGAGGATTAGGGGAATCTCATAGACCCAGCTGTATGACCTTGGAGGAATCGGAAGGTCAACAGTCTCTCTCACGTCCATTCTCTCCCTCCCCTCTGTCTTTATTTGGGTCTAGTTCACTGTCCTCCTCCTCTGGGTAAATGCTCTGCCCACACACTGCCTATGCACGATCCATCCTGGTTGTTCCAAAGCAGGGCTTCGCTCCCCAATTTTATACGAGCTCCCACTGCTCACCTTCCCACACCTGCCTTTCTTAGTCCTTTCTTATTTGAAATGAGAGAGAGAGACAGAGAGAGAGGTGGAGGCCGTGTCCGCACTGCCGAGATGGACGGCTCTAACAGCGGCTCTCTCCCTCGCCCAGTTGGCCACAGCCAGGCGGGCAGGGTCAGGCGGCTCACAGAGTGGTCCTCACTGCGGGCCTGGGGTGGAGCAGGTTCTCCAAGGCCAGGGGAGGCGGGGAGAGCAGTGGACCTGACACTTCACTGTCAAGCACAATGACATCTTCATGAAAACGAAAGGCTTGCCTTAAGTTGGACGTTACCTCCCGTGATCTGCCTGGTCAGACTGTTTGCAAAGGAAGTTGGTCTAAATCAACAAAGTGAAAAAGGCAAGGGGTGGGGATGTGTGCGCACCTTGGCCCGACTCCCGGTCTCCTCCAGCCGGCCCCAGAGGAGGGTCCGGGGTGGAGGCAGAGACAGACTTTCCAGCCGGGGGCGTCTCCCGCTCTGGCTGGCGGGTCTCACCTCATGCAAACCCATCCCTGTAGACCCAGGGCCACTAAAACCAGAGACTCCCGGGGTGCATTTGTCTAGACAAGGGGCTTTAATCTGTGCTATGGGTAATAAGTGGGGACTCAGTATGAAAGCAACTTTAAAATAATGTAATAAATATTTTTCATTTAAATGTGTAACGCTTCTAAATGATCCCACTAACCGGTAATCTCCTTTGACATGCAATTTATTACTGTGCAGAAGTAGATTCAGAACAGCCTAAGGGTCCATCTTGCCTTTAACGCCTCCAAATTAAAAAATAAAATCAGGTCTCATTAGGGAGTGTGCACATCTGTACTGTTTTGTTGTTAGCATTTCGTTGTTGCTGCTGTATTTTGCTTCTACGTCTTTGTAAGAATTCATTCCGTTTTATACCCCTGGCACCTCTGATCCCTTATTTCTCCACCGTTTGAAAGGTTTCCCTTTGTTCTTGTAACGATATTTCTGCCACGATGTGTCTGTTTTGCCTTGGTGCTCGGTGAGCGTCTGTCCCGTTTTGATTAACTTATCCTTCTCAACAGGAAGCCGCCATCAGTTGCTGGGTGCAGTTCAGTGACGGCTCAGTCACGCCCTTGGATATTTACGACGGGAAAGACTTCTCCTTGATGGCCACGTCCTTGGACGAGAAGGTGGTCTCCATCCACCAAGACCCCAAATTCAAGTGGCCTATAATCGCCGCTGGGACGGAAGGCCAGGGTGCCCTGGTAAAGGTCGAGATGGTTATCAGCGAGTCCTGCCAGAAATCCAAGCGGAAGAGCGTGTTGGCTGTCGGGACGGCAAACATCAAAGTGAAATTTGGCCAGAACAATGCCAACCCCAACGCCAGCGACAGCAGACACCCTGGGGCAGGTGTTCACCTGGAAAATGACGTCAGTGAGCCAAGGCCCAAAAAGACCTGGCAGGAATGGGAAAGCCCGGAAGGAAGGTTCTACAGCAGTTCTTCCGTGGGACTCATGGAAGGGAGGGGCACCGCCACAGAGAGGTCGACCTTGCGGAGGAAGGACCAGGGAGGTTTCTTGGATGGTGACAGCCACCTGCAGACCCTCCCCGTCGACCTCACCAGCTTCCCAGCCCAGGTGGACCTCCCCAGAGGCCACGGGGAGATGGACGAGAACGACCTCATGCAGGCGTCCAAGGGGCTGAGTGACCTGGAAATCGGGATGTATGCTTTGTTGGGTGTCTTCTGCCTGGCCATTTTGGTCTTCTTAATAAACTGCGTGACCTTCGCGTTAAAGTACAGGCACAAACAGGTTCCCTTCGAAGAACAAGAAGGGATGAGTCACTCCCATGACTGGGTTGGGCTGAGCAACCGGACAGAGCTGTTGGAGAATCACGTGAACTTCGCGTCTTCCCAAGAGGAGCGGATCACTGCCTTTGACCGGGGCATGGACTTCGAGGAGAGCAAGCACCTCCTCAGCACGAACTCCCAAAAGACCATCAACGGGCAACTGTTCAAACCTTTAGGACCCACAATCACAGACGGGAAAGATCCGAAAAGTGAGCCCCCAACATCCCCTACCTCAAAAAGAAAAAGGGTGAAGTTCACCACCTTCACCGCTATCTCCTCGGATGACACGTGCCCCGCCAGGGACTCCGTGGCGATGGGCAGCGAGGACGACATTAAGTGGGTCTGCCAGGACCTGGACCCCGGGGACTGCACGGAGCTGCACAGCTACATGGAGAGGCTACACGAAAACGTGTAAGCCAGGCACACACGTGCACCTGCTCTCACTCACCTTTCAGCCTTTAATTCCAGGATGTGTAGCAACGGTGCGCCAGGGAGAGAGATGGAATGACAGGGCAAGATAGGGTGACGCTGTCCGCAGAGTCTCAGAAAACAACCCCAGCCGGGCCGGGGAGGCCCCTAGTCAGCATCGACGTGCACGTTCCAGCGTACGATGTCTTGCTTAAAGTCGAGAGGTTTATCACGCGTGGCAGGATTTTTAAAACTTGGAACAAAAATGAGATCTGAGTCCCCAAGCTTCTGAGAGCTTCCAGGAAAGAACAGCCTCTCTCTTGCTCTCTCTCGTTAATCAAGGCAATTTGGATACTGTGACATCCACATGTTTGGATACTGTAATTGGGATACTGTGACATCCACGTGTTTGGATACTGTAATTGGGATACTGTGACATCCACGTGGCTCCAATATTAAAAGCGCGATGCGGGTTGGGCACGCCTGGATCAAAGGGAGGGAGCGTATCGTGCAACCTGCAGTGGCAGATCTCGCTGCGAGCGGGACCACAGGCAGTCTCGCGCCCGGGCAGCTCCAGGAGTGACCGCGAGTTACCGTCTCTCAAAGACCGGGGCAGGGCCGGACCAGGTCATCGACAGAGCAAAGCATTGCTGACCAGGCCTGAAAGGGGACAAGTGACAAAATACCTTTGTACCTACATGCCAAGAGCAAACACACACACACACACACACACACACACACACACACCCTCTGAGCAGTTCAGAGCATTTCTTTCTTTGTAAACTAAGGATACTGGGCATAGAATTTCTGTCAGGTTCAAAGAACCAGGCTTTTTTTTTAGCAAGCTCATCGCGTTTAAGTTTGCTTTCCTCCACTGCGTTGCCACCTTTCCAAAAGCTACTGGTCATCTGCAGGTGAGGGCGGGGGGGACCATTCTCCAGTATTTCCTGAGTCCCTTCTCCCCACCCCAGGCTTTGTGTCAACTCCCAGATGACAGTGCACGCCGCCCATCTTTGAAGAGGCTGGTCTTTGGGGGTCGTTGGGGGGAGGCAGTACGCACAGGGATTGAGCACCAGGTGGTGTCCCTTCCTCACCTTTCTAGACAGACGAGAGGGCTGTTTTGCGATGGGTCTGTCACCGTTCATGGTGGGTCTCCTGTCTAAGAACTTACCTCGAGGCTGTTGAGACAGACCTGGGTGTCCGTGTGGAAGGTGCCGGGTGCACCGGGATTCCGGGTGTGCCGGGGGTGGATCCGGCAGGAAGCCCGGCCCCCCCACCACACACACCTGGACAGCACGAGAGGCTTCTTCGCCTTGGAGGCTTGGAGGGATGTGAGGCCCCAGCGCAGGCGGTGGGCGGGCAGGCTGTGCAGGCACCTGGCCCTAAAGGCAGCCTGGAAAGACGTGACGTTGCTCAAGTTTGAAATGACTGAATATCTCCCAAATCCCCCAGATGCGAAGCCCAGGAAGCTGGAGGGGGAGGGAGAGATTGGAGGATTCTTACCCCATCTCACGCCAACTCCAAGGCAGATAAGGGGGTGGGGTAATGGCCAACTCGACATTGTCCTGGGAGGGATGGTTGGGGGATGGGGAGTCAGGCACCGGGCAGTCTCTCTCTCTCCCTTTCTCCCTTCTCCCTCTCCTCCTCCCTCTCTCTCTCTCTCTCTCTCTCTCTCTCTCTCTCCATCGTATCATTGCATTCTCCTTAGATGACGTGTGTGCAAATCCCACCGGTTCACCCTCTCAACCTTAGCACTCTCCCCTCCAGCTGTGGTGCTATCGGTTTGCTCTGAGACTGGGACTCCTACAGCCAGCACGTCACCTGCTCCCGTCCCCAAGCCTGCTCCCCCCGTTTGCTTGGGTGATGAAACGGTCGCCCCTTCTCGATGATAATTCTTTGCTTTCAGCAGCGCCCTCGTATTTCTTTCCATTCTCACCCTCGTGATGTTCCGTCTAACGCCGCAGCCGCCGCCCGCGCCCGGATCCATCCACGTGTAGAATGTATTGTAGATTGTAAGAATGTAATATATATTTATAAACCTACCGACTGTAAATATAAAGTTTGCACTCCGTGGCTTTATGTGTGTCCGTTGTCTTTCTACACGCTGACCCCCTCCGAGGGGCTGGCGTCGGTGGCAAATGGCTCTGCAAGCACTGTGGCTTTTGGCCAATGACATGCAGATTTAAGGATCCCAGCACAATCCAATTACACCCTCACGCCGTGCGCTGCTGCTGTCTGCAACGAGATGTTGACACATGATGACAAAGTGCATTGTGCACTAAGTGTCTCTCCTTCAGGACCTGAGAGGATCTGCAAATAAATCACACATGCAATGCTCTCCTGAAAGCCTGCTGACTGATGGTGGTGAGTGAGAACCGTGGCAGGTGAGTGCGTGCTCCAGCCTCCCTTTGGGCTGGAGCAAGGAAAATGCTCTGTCCTCCCCTGGGGTCTCAGACGTCCATGCACACGGTAACCCTGGGCTGGGTTAAAAAAGTTTGATATTTTATTACATTCCTTCATCAAGTGCGGCCCCGACACCACTGCACATAAAGAGAGGTTGCATGAGACCCTTGCATTCGTGCAAAGCATAGCAAGTGTCGGATCATTCATTCGTTCAGCCAGCACTTACTGAGCAGCTACTCTGCGCCAGGAGCAGCCGTAAGCCCTGGAAACAGAGCTGTAAACACAGCAGAAACAGGCGCTCCAGGAGACCTGACTTACATCTGGCTGGGGCGAGGGGGCCACAAAATAATTTTCGTATAGTCCTAGGTTTTCTAAAAGACAATAAAACAGGTTACAGAATAGAGAAAAATTGAGCCAACATTTGACACTTTGATGATTTCACCTAAAAATTCGGGACTTCTTTTTTCACTTGCAAATTCAGACACTGGTGAGAAGGGGCTTCCAATCCGTCTCGGTGTGATTGGGTGGGGTCAAGTTGGGGGCGCGAGTCCTTTCCACCCCGGTGTCTCCTCGACTCACGGTGTCGATTTTATTTACAATCTCACTGCTCTTCTGATAATAGACAAATATTTCTCCTGAGTCTTGTCTCTGCCCAAAAATGGGGGAAACAAACAAAGACGAGGGAGCTGTGTGTTTCGGGACAGGTAGGAAAGAGCACGTTGCTTTAGGAAAGAGCAGAATGTCCCTCCCTGTCCCTTAGGCTAATACAGAATGTCATCGTCTAAAGGACACAGCTTTGCCATTGTAAGGCAAACTGTAATGTGACCTGTGTGCCCAGAATTCGAGACAGAAATGGCACGAAAGCCTTAACTGAAACTTCCAGGGTGTCTCTTTGTGAATAAAGGAAGTGACTGGTCTCTCTGACGCCTGTTCGATCATTTACGCCACCCGAGGCACCCCCGGAGGCCCTGAGGTTCCCATCCCCGGGAAACCAGCTTCATCCGCAAACTCGGGAGAGGAGGCGCTTCCCTGAGGTTGGTCCGTCCCCCGCTGGCCCCTGGCTGCCGGTGCTTTGCTGTAACAAAGTCCACACGCTGGGTAGCCTGGACAACAGAAATTTACTGTATCATTTTTCTGGAAGCCCCAAGTCCGAGGTCAAGGTGTCGGCAGGTTGGTTCCTTCTGGGGGCTGCAAGGGAGACTCTGTTCCAGGCCTCTCCAGCTCCTGGTGGCCCTAGGCAGACCTTGGTGTCCCCCAGCTGGTGGACACATCACTCTAACCTCTGCCTTCTCCCGGTGTGTCTGTGTGTCCGGGTTTTCTTTCTTCTCATAAGGATGCCAGTGGCTGGATTTGGAATATGCCCTAATCCAGCACGACCTCATCTCGCCTTGGTTACATCTGCAAAGAGCCTATTCCACATAAGGTCACGGCCGTGGGTGCTGGGGGTCAGGGCTTCAACTCGTCTTCTTGGAGGCACATTTCCATCTACTCCAAGGAGAAAGAAGTCCCCTTGGGATGGGAGACATATGTCTTGCTGCTCAATTTGCAATCTTTTCCTTGCAAGTGATTTCGTTGAAAATATTAAGTGGGCTTATGGGAAAATTTAATGGGAGGAGTGAGGGACAAAGTGTGTTACTTCCTAGGAGCGAACAGTAGAGGTGCGTGTGTCTGATCATGGAACGGCCGGCCCGGGGCTCCCTCTGTCTCCCCATCTCACTCTGTGTTGGCCCATTCGGCTCCGTTCTCGGGCAGAGTCACCCCCAGGGCGGCCTCTGGAAGCCCCAGACCCGTTAGTTTCCCGGAGTGCAGACGGCAGCTGTCCCAGCACCAGAAAACACCTTCATTGGCTCCTGTTGGCCGGCGGGAGTTGCTTGCTGAACACAGATGTGTACCCCGCCACATCCAGGCCTTGGTCACAGGTGTCTCTCGCCAGCCCAGGGACCTGGGGCAGGGAGGAGGAAGTCCTTACCTGAACCATGTCACAGGGACTCAGGGCGGGGAGGGGTCAGATTCCCAAGGCGAAATGCAGAGCCTGTTGCCATGAAATGGGGAACAGGTGTCGCCAAGCAAAGCGATCAGCCCACTGCCCTCTTCCACTGCCGCTTCCCGGCTTCCGGCCCCCCGAGCCCTATTCTCGCGAGCTTTGCTTTCTGGACGTTCAGGAAGACTCTGGAGCCACATACACGGGGCCCCAGGAAGTTGTGGGCCGTGGTGAGGCATGGGGACAGGCGCCCTTCACAAACAACCCACGCAGGCCAGCCAAGGAAACGCTCTCCTCTCGGACCGGGTGAGTGAGCCCCTCGGGGCCAGCACGATTTCTGCTCTTTCTTAGATAGCGAGACCTTAAACAGCTGTTTCTCCTCCTATTCCGTCAAGCCTGACCCCCCAAGCAAGCCAAAGGAACCAAAACAACAACCCCAAAGAATGATAACATAACACGCGACGCTCCCCCCCCCCCCGCCCAGCCCACCGAAACCAGAGCAAGGCGAGCAGATCAAACCAATAAACGAACGGGGGAGGCGATCCAAGCGAAAAGAAAAGGAACACCTGACAAAAAAAAAACACATGGCCAGGTGTTGTGGCTCATGCCTGTAACTGCAGCACTTTGGGAGGCTGAGGCCAGGGGTATCACTTAAAGCCAGGAGTTTGAGACCAGCCTGAGCAACACAGCAAGACCCCGTCTCTACCAAAAATTTTAAAATCAGCCAGGCATGGT